TCTGTCCCAACCTTTTACTCTTGAAACATTTAAATGTAACCGCCTATTCTACTCCAAGAGCTTCTTCTCTCGCACTTCCAAACAGTGAAACACCCTTCCTCTTACTTGTTTCCCTGATAGCTATAATCTTCAAAAATTTAAATGTAATGTCAATCGACATCTTCTGATGCCTTGATCCTCGTTTTTCTTTTTATCCTTCGCCGTTCTTCTTTTTATCCTTTCCTCAACTCCCCTATAGCCAGTCTCTTCCCTTACTTTCACTCTCTGTAACCCCTTGCCTACTAGTGGCACTCCCGCCTTTCTTGGGATGAAATGCTTATAAAAATAAATAAATATCTGGTAGCTTCATTTTCATAGCCGAAATGTAAACAACAATAAGTTTTTAAATGGAGAGTATTTTTTTATTACCTTTTTTAATAATTTCATCCTAAGCAAGGCAATAAAGCCACTAAGACACGAAGGGCTTATTAAGGAGAGAACAATAAAAGAACAAGAATTAAGAAAATAGAAAACAGGGATAAAATCTCAAAAACGTGTATCCACTAAAAATAATGTTTATGGTAATCTAAATAAATAAACGGCAAATTTTGTCTGTCCGTCCGTGTGTCTGAAACCCGTCTAACTCGAGCCAATCGGCCCTTGATCTGGTGCTTGATCTGGGATTTGTGTCCAGATGAGGAGGGAACGGTAAAAAATTCAAATTTTAAAATAACTGAAAAAAATAGTGATTGTAAAAGTTTTAATATATATCGACTTTAAAGTAACACAAAAACTTCGTAAATTTAAAAAAAAAAATTGTTTTAAATAACAATTTAAAATATCTCCAAAACTTTGTGAATTGAGGAAATCAATTTTATTTCTTCAAAATACCAAGGAATCAGAGTTAAAGTGAAAGGTTTCGTGACGTAAGGTTTTAAAGTTCCGCAGAGTTTTCGATTTGAACAACTGAATTGAAGTTCCATAGAGTTTGTGATTTGAAGAACTCAATTTTCGACCCGAATTAAAATTTCGGCCCAAATCGGAGTTTTGGCCCAAATCGGAGTTTCGGCCCAAATCGGAGTTTCGGCCCAAATCGAAGTTTCGGCCCAAATTGGGCTTTTGGCCGGAATTGGGTTATAGCCCGAATCAGAATTAAAGTAAGCTTTGAAATTCCATGGAGTGAATTGAGAAATTCAAAGTTATTTCTTCAAAATTATCATTGCTGTTTTCTAACCTCGACCAGGTGTCCTTTTAGTTTTGTATCGGAGGCCCAATTAGCCCTCCGCAAAAAGTAGCTTAAAAGTCCACACGGAGTGCGTCTTTTATCCTAGTAAGAAATATACGTGTGCGCGGGTACGTGTTTGTTAGCGGGGGTGCTTTTGCGAGCAAGGGCGTGTGTCACAAACTGTCTCACACAAAGAAATTAAAAAACATAAAAGGTAAACATTATGTGAAGTCAACGAAATGAAAGGCTTTAGTTGTGACGTCCATAAGAAGGACATGGTAAAGCCCTGGTGAGGTGTCTTGAGTTCCAATTTAGGATGCCTGGGAATTCCTGCTGCCATCCTTCGTGGTCAACGAAACTGCAACAGAATCTCGCATCCGCCTCCGTCGTCGGCTCGGCAGAAATTGACTATCCTCGCCAACTGGCTGTTACCTAACTCTCAAGGGCGCCTTTAATCATAAGTCATTTCATCCGGTCAAAAGGGAGATAATCGAATTCTTGCATTCCTGCAAGTGTTTGCTATCGGTTGCGGATGACTGAGTTTTAACGGTATTTTTGTATTTATTAAGTAAATATATACATAACGTGTTTTATTACAGAAATGCATTGAAGATGTTTTACTATAGAAATGCATTTCTAATAAGGAAATGTTGGTTTTAATCTTGGATATGACAGTTAAAGATCCTTCTTCCCAAATTCACAGACAAATCCTACAAATGTATGCTGGGATTTCTCCCTAGCGAATAAAAATGGGCAATTCTTAGTCTTACTGATACATTTTTTTCTTTCTTCCCTTGAAGTCGTGACGGCTGCTTATGACGTTTACAGCAACCAAACCGAGTGGAGGCTTTTTTAGCCCTCAAAAAGGACAATTTAAATGTGGGGAATACATCGATAAACCAAATATTTGTTTATAAAAATTTTGAAATTGAAACTAAAAAAATTTTACCCTTCCTAGATGCCATGCTACACAGAATAATGATTTTCAATTAACAGTTTACAGAAAATCTATCAAGAAGAATGACCTCATAAACTATTATTCTCACCACTGCAGAAGCATAAAATTTGGAATAGTAAGATACTAGATAAAACACTAAAAATTTGCAGCCCCAATATTTACCCGAAGAAGAAACATACATAGAAGACACTTTTTAAAAATCTCCAATATCCTTACTATTTCACCCACAACGCTAAGAGAAAGGCATACAAAATATACAGCGGCTAAAAAGATTGTTAAGGGGTCCACCCCTTTTTATACAAGTGGACTCGCTCAGTGTGTACTTATACTACTGCGGGTGAATACCCAGAGGGTGACAGTGAGATAGTGAGAGTGTGAGGTAACCGCTTTGTAGGAGTTACAGTTGCGACCACGTAGACTCAGAAGGAAGTCCTACTTCGATACTGAATTTACCAGACTGTATATATATTATTATTGCTACTAACCGCATTTCTGGATCTACTAACCGTATTACTAATTGTATTATTACGTCAATACATTTATTTGCTATATTTCATTCCTGCGTTTGTCTTTCATTTGAGACCGGATTTCATCCCGGAATCCACGACAAAGATAATTACATTAATAACAACAGCAACAATGACAGTAAACTAAATAAAACCACAATCCAAAACAATTTATCCAATCTTAACAATATCCACATATTTACAACCACATCCAAAACTATTTAGGATACGATTAGAATCAAAAATATCCATTACAATAATAATTCTGAAGCAGGTATATATAAAATAAACTGTCACAACTGTTCCTTACAATAAAATTCAGGAAACTTGCAGAAATTAACACACACACACACACACAACCACACACACACACACACACACACACACATATATATATATATATATATATATATATATATATATATATATATATGGTGGACTCTCCCGTCGTACTCGACGTATCAGGGTCAAGCAGTTCAGTTCCTAGGAACCGACAGCCAGACACCAGCACATATGATTTTGATTATAGTGGTGAAGGCTTTGTACAGAACCAACTACACATTTTGAAGGGCCGAATACAGAGATTTGGTGCACTATGTGTCACAGGGTAGTCCCAAAACGACCAGGTTTTGAATTCAGAGTTGTCTTTCTTCTAGAGCAGTTGCCATCCAAGGCTATTGAACCCAGTCTGTCCTGCTATTTACCCATAGCTGGAGGGAGAAGAAGAGGATTAATACCTTTCCCAAGGGCATTAGGACGTAAGTGAATGTAATGGATTCGACTGGAATTCAAATCCGGGCCGCTATCCACAACTCCACCGTGCCGCCGGATAGGATGATGTCGTAAAAGGCTCGCTTATTCCATCTTACGCACCCCAGTCTGCCGGCGGCTGCCCCCGTTCGTTGTCGTTGCCGAGATCGATAACGAAACGCACGTAAACTATATATATATATATATATATATATATATATATATATATATATATATATATGTGTGTGTGTGTGTGTGTGTGTGTGTGTGTGTGTGTGTGTGTGTGAAATGGACAAAGTCCGACAATTATTTTAAGAATTTTATGTTTATAAATTCTTTTTTATAGATAAAAATGTCTTAAAATAATTGTCGAACTTTGTCCATTTCATAATGCGTGACGTCATTTGTTTACGTTTGGATACGCATCGAGCAGATATGAATGTACGTGAGAAAATCATGGAAAATTGTAGCTTAAAAACAGTAAAATCGACCTTATCAAACGAAACGCTCCTCTGTGGCGAAATCGGTAAAAGTACGCCAGGCTATAAGAGGGTTCCGTACCGGATACAGGTTTGATTCTTGTCAGAGAACGCATATTTTCTATGACAATTTCTCGGACATTTAGGTCGGTAAATGTTCTTAATACTGTTTATGATAAACAGAGCATTTACTTAAATATTTGTATCTATGAAAAAAAGAATGTATAAACATAAAAATGTCTTTAAAAAAAAAATATATATATATACACTGGTTATAGGACGCTAATTTGACGAGAGGAAAATTTAATCATAATTTTTTTTTTCTTTTTGTCATAATAAAATTTCTAATAAAAGAATCATGTCTCACTTTATTTTTAAACATATATAATAATTTTCTCTTCTTTAAATTACAAAATAACAACTTTTGGAGCGAATTTTAAAAATTACCATGTGTGGCCTCAAACCTTTGTACTGTAGTGTATATATATATATATGTGTGTGTGTGTGTGTGTGTGTGTGTTAAAGTACTCAGAGTAAATTTGTAGAGAAGAGAAATTTAATAAAATAGACAAGCGGAAAATAGTAATTAGTCCTTGCTGATACGTTCCGTCATTTGACTTTATTGAGGCAAGGGATGATAAACAAAAGCGAAATGTTGTGTAGTTATATGAAATTCAAAAAATTTAAAAGACGCTCATGTGTCAGCCTTTTTTTGGATATTAGTAACTTTTCTTTTCCTTTTTATTAATTTTTGAATTGCATATAACTACACAACATTTCGCTTTTGTTCATCATCTCTTGCCTTGATAAAGTCAAATGGTGAAATGCGGCGGCAAGGACTAAGTAGTATTTTCTGATTGACTATTTTTTTATATATATATATATATATATATATATATATAAATGGGAAGAATTGCTTAGGAATATTCACTGTCTTTGAAAATTAATATAATTAATCGATGTACAGATTTTTGTTTTTTTTTAGTTAATACCGATGCGATTGGCACGGTGGCTTTTTGGGGGAAGAGTTGATGGAGTAATCACCCACAGAGCAACGATTTTCTGTCGAGAACGGAGGACATCTTTATTCAAAAGATTGCAGAATGTTCTTTTTGACCTTAAACACGTCCGTCTTTGAAGGAAATATGGGTTAGTACAATATAAGATGACCAGGGAATGAAAGTAGCCCTGCTAAATATACCTTTGGTCGATATGCTTCCATTAGCGAGTTATGAAGTGGCGGGCAAGGGAAAGGAAACGTCTGAGAGAGAATGTCAGGGTGAAGAAATTCTTCTGTTTTTTTTTTAGGGATTTTTTTTCATTTCTTTTTCTTTTCTTCTTTATCTTTTTTTCTTTATAGGAAAAAGCTATTTTGGAAATTGAATAACCTGACCCCTGTCAAAAATCTGACGATAAAAAAAAAACAGTTGGGAAGCAAAATTCAATTTCTTCTTTTTTTATTTGAATGTTTTAGTGTCTGCTTGTGTGTATGTGTGTGTGTGTGAGAGAGAGAGAGAGAGAGAGAGAGAGAGAAAGAGAGGCGGGAGGAGAAAGAAAAATGGCGGTAAAGAGTTTGTTTGTTAGAGAATGTTCCAAAAATTGTAAAAATCTAAATTAAAATGAACAGAAAATTAGAAATTTAATTTCAATTTAGACTTTTTAAACATATTCAGGACTTTTAGGAAACTTGCCTTTAATGTGGATTTATTTATATCTTAATACTTTCTTAATTAAATATAGCAGTATTTGTTTGCTTGTGTCTGTAAGATTGGAAAATGCCCGTTTTAACGACCTAATATTGAGGAAAGAGTCAATTAATTCCAAAAGTCCGTTAAATATGAATGTAACATAGAAAGTTATGTTTACCATTTATACTGTCTACAGAAATACTTTGACACTATATACTTATAAACATATTAGATTATAATTATCTGGTATGCTTTACTCTTTCAGAACATCTGCCATCATGTCTATCCACAGTTTTCACTCTTGTCTAAGTCTGCTGTGACAATTTGCCATCCGGTTTTGTTCTTCTGAGGCATGCATTCACTCAGACATGTTAAGTATTTCATACACGGTTTCCGCTTGTATTCAGTGTGTCCTGTGAGTGTTTAATTCACCATAACTTCTATCTTCATTATGTTCACACGAAATTTCACATGTCTCTTCCTGATTACAATTAAAAGTTTTCATGTAGGTCCCTTTTTACTTGAAATTTCCTTTCTTCGTTCTCTCCATAATATTCTCAGAATTAGTCGGTAGAACCAGATTTTGCTGCTTCAAACCTTCTTTCCTCATTCTGTGCTCTTTCCAAGCATTCTTTCCGCATTATGTGATCTTTCAAAGCCATCTTTCCTCATTATGTACACTTTCGAAGCATTCTTTCCTCATCGTGTGCTCTTTCCAAGCCTACTTTCCTCATTACGTGATATTTCCAAGCCTTTTTTCCTCATTTTGTGCTCGTTCCTAGCATCCTTTGCTCATTAATTGCTCTTTCGAAGCCTTCTTTCCTCATTATGCGCCCTTTCAAAGCCTTCTTTACTCATTATGCTCTCTTTCCAAACCTCCTTTCTTCATATTGTGCCGTTTCAAAGCCTTATTTCCTCGTTATGTGTTCTTTTGAGGACTTGTTTCTTCATTATGTGCTATTTCCAAGCCTTCTTTCCTCATTACGTGCTCTTTACAAGCATTTTTTCTCATTATGTGCCCAATCCAAGCCTTCTTTCCTCATTATGTGCTCTTTCGAAGCCTTCTTTCCTCATCATGTGCTATTTAAAAGCCGTTTTTTCTCATTCTGTGCTCTTTCCAAGCCTCTTTTCCTCATTCTGTGCTCTTTCCAAGCCTTCTTTTCTCATTGTGTGCCCTTTCCAAGCCTTCTTTCCTCATTATGTGCTCTTTCCAAGCCTTCCTTCCTCATCATGTGCTCTTTCAAGGCCATTTTTCCTCATTCTGCGCTCTTTCCAATCCTTTTGTCCTCATTATGTGATTTTTCGAAGCCTTCTTTCTTCATTATGTACACTTTCGAAGACTTTTTCCTCATTATGAGATCTTTACAAGTCTTTTTTTTCTCATTGTGTGCTCTTTTCCAGCCTTCTTTCCTCATTGTGTGCTTTTTCGAAGCATTCTTTTCTCATTATGTGCTATTTCCAAGCCTTCTTTCCTCATTCTGTGCTCTTTCGAGGCATTCTTTTCTTATTATGTAAAATTTCGAAGCATTCTTTCCTCATTATGTTCTCTTTAGAAACATTTTCCTTATTCTGTTCTCTTCCCGAGCCTTCGTTCCTCATTATGTGCTCTTTCGAAGCCTTTTTTCCTCATTCTGTGCACTTTCGAAGCATTCTTTACGCATTATGCGCCCTTTCCAAGCCTTCTTTCCTCATTATGTTCTCTTTCCAAACCTCCTTTCTTCATATTGTGCCGTTTTAAAGACTTATTTCCTCATTATGTGTTCTTTCGCTGACTTGTTTCTTCATTATGTGCTATTTCCAAGCCTTCTTTCCTCATTACGTGCTCTTTACAAGCATTTTTTCTCATTATGTGCCCAATCCAAGCCTTCTTTCCTCATTATGTGCTCTTTCGAAGCCTTCTTTCCTCATCATGTGCTATTTAAAAGCCGTTTTTTTCTCATTCTGTGCTCTTTCCAAGCCTCTTTTCCTCATTCTGTGCTCTTTCCAAGCCTTCTTTCCTCATTGTGTGCCCTTTCCAAGCCTTCTTTCCTCATTATGTGCTCTTTCCAAGCCTTCCTTCCTCATCATGTGCTCTTTCAATGCCATTTTTCCTCATTCTGTGCTCTTTCCAAGCGTTTTGTCCTCATTATGTGATTTTTCGAAGCCTTCTTTCTTCATTATGTACACTTTCGAAGACTTTTTCCTCATTATGAGATCTTTACAAGTCTTTTTTTTCTCATTGTGTGCTATTTCCAAGCCTTCTTTCATCATTGTGTGCTCTTTCGAGGCATTCTTTTCTCATTATGTAAAATTTTGAAGCATTCTTTCCTCATTATGTGCTCTTTACAAGCCTTTTTTCCTCATTGTGTGCTCTTTTCCAGCCTTCTTTCCTCATTGTGTACTCTTTCGAAGCATTCTTTTCTCATTGTGTGCTCTTTCGAAGCATTCTTTTCTCATTATGTGCTTCTCCAAAGCCTTTTTTCCCCATTATGTGCTCTTCCAAATCCTTATTTCTTCATTCTGTGCTCTTTTCAAGCTTTTTTCCTCATTGTGTGCACTTTCTCAGCCTTATTTCCACATTGTGTGCTCTTTACAAGAAATCTTTCCTCATTTTCTGCTCTTTCCAAGCCTTCTTTCCTCATTGTGTGCTCTTTCGCAGCCTTCTTTTCTAATTATGTTCTCTTTCCAAACATTCTTTCTTTATTATGTGCTCTTTCCAATCCGTCTTTTCTCTAGAAATTTCAACTCTCTCTTTCAGATATTAACTTCATATGTTTAATTTTTGTTTCCATTGTTTCTAAATCTTTGCCCTTCTTTGTATGTTCCGTCATAGAGATTTTTTTCTTATGGATTTGATGCCATAAAAAATTTAATTTCGCTCAATTAGGCCTTATATTATTTTACACTGATTTTAAAATTGGTGTACGAAACTCAAAAGAAATGGAAAATGATCAAGACTTATTGAATTGATGCTATTAATTGATTGCGGTCACAGAAATATTAAATTATTTCCTTTTTGAACTTCTCTACATCAAATAATCTAACAGTTGCAAAAATGAATAATAAAATTCTTTATAAAATGCCCACAAACGAAAATAGCATTAAACTTTACATTCTTCGAGTCTTCAAACGTGTATTTATTTAATAAAAGAATCAGTTGCTGAGAAACAGCAACTGGATCGATTTCAGAATCTCAGTGAAAAATTACAAATTATTTTAGAAACAAATACTAAATGCAGATATTTTTCCCGTCAAATCTGAAAGAATATGATATGTTTTATTAAATTATACAAATACTAACTCTCAACAAAAATATTTTTTGAATAATATTTGGTAAGATTCGTGACGAATTTTCACAGTATATTCACTGTTGATATTGCATAGGTACCTCCGAACATTCGCTAAAAAAGAACATGAAAAAATGTTCAAAACCTCATAAAAACAACTTTACATCGTTAAAATCTTTAAGAGAAAATATCAAATGATTTTTTTTCATGCAAAAATTATGTTTATAATTTTTAGAACCTTGGAAATTTTAGTTAAAAATGTTGTTTTTCTGTTGTCAGTGCAGGACTATAAATTTATACAGAAAATTTAATCTTTTTACTGCAATGAAAAACAGATTCATTTGGATATTTTTACAAAAATCAAACAACTGTCGGATTTAAAATCTTCAGGGCTTATTCAGAAATTATTCAAAACTTTCAGGGCTTATTCAGAAATGATTCAAATTACTTTTTAAATCTTTTTGTTTCAAAAAATCCTTGTAATAATATTTTTTTTTCTACATCTGTTACCCCCATACTCAGTTCATTTTTTTATGAAAATTCGAGAAATCTTTTTTGCTAAATTTTTATATTTGTTATAAGGACAACTCCTCGGAGAATCTAAAACATCATTGTTTTTTTTTTTTTTTAGTGGGGGGGGGCGTTGTTTTGTTCCATTTTTGTTTTTTGTATTTTTGTTTGTTTTGTTTTTTGGGGTTTTTTTTGTTTTTTGTTGTTGTTTTTTTGGTGAGTGGTGCTTTTGATTTTGCTCAAACAGAACACCCAGTTATAGAAAATCTCTTGTGAATCATAAAATAAAAAATGCAATATAACTAAAACTTTATTTAATTAAAATAGTTGATAATTGCTTTTCTGAATAAAATATATTATGGACATTATTGTCTTAAGAAAAATATTTTTCGATTAATAATGAATTTTTAAAAGAATTTTCAATTTTTTAAATTCTAATTAGAATAATATAAACGTTTACATGTAAAGTTCTGTATTAATTTACAGCAGTCAAGTGATATTGATATTAAATTAAAACTGTATTTAATATTCATAAATAGGAAAAATCACTAAAATACCCCCAGTATTTTGAAAATAATTTTTTATTTTTTATATGTACATAAACGTGCCGATTTTTGTAAATACGGACGTCCATACACGATATTAACAGAAAGTTACCTATAGTAAATTTAAAATTTATTGGTAATTTTTCTAACATTTCCTCAACAGGCGTCTTCGTAAGTAAAGTTATAAAACTAAATAATTTCACATTCAATTAAATATTAGAATGTTTAAAATATTTTTGGATGGTTAAAAAAAAAACATAAAAATGCGTTCATGTTCGACATGTCGATTTTTTTCAATTATGTGCTCCTTACTTAAATTTCTCGAACATAAGACTGTCAATAAATCACTCAACACATCAAAAATCACTCCTTCTGTCTTAAAATAATGATGTATTTTTCTGCGATATTTTAAACCAAACTAAGTAATAATTATGTCAATTCAGATTAATTACTCTTTAAATCAGTTAATTTTTCTCAAATACAGCTTCAGAAAAGTATATATTATTTTTTAAAGACCTTTTAATAAAGAGAATTACGTTGTGTTGACAGATCTGTCAATATGAACGAATTTATAGATTTTACTGAAAAGGAGAATTCCAATCAGTGTAAACTCAATTACCCTGAAATTAAAACTAAAATGAAAGCTTCAAAGAAGGCTGTTTATTTTAAAATACATTTTAAATTTAGGTATCGTTTTTTAATACTTAATATTGCATAATTATATATATATATATATATATATATATATATATATATATATATAGTCGACTAAATTATTCGTACACCCATCAATTTTGAATATTTTTATCCATTTCTCAGAATCTAATGCCCATATGATGCCAGAGTTTTTTATATGTTAATAAGCACAAAAAAGGGAATATAAAACACAATTTTCAGAACAATAGGTTAAATATTTTCATTGTCCAAGAATGTATTGGCAAAATTAAACCGAGCAACAATATGACATGGTTTGCGAAAAGGGGTTCATCGTGGTTGGTTTCCATACAACCCATTTCTAAAAAATAATAAAAATTGAAGCATACTACTTGTCGAGGCTCAACACAATTTCAGAAGCCAGTTTGATCTACACGTGCGTACACACTCGCACCTACACACTCAGACACAATGGAAAAGATGACAGTCCGCAGCCACTAAGGCCTTATCTATGTACACAATAGAAGGGATTAAGCAGCAGCAGACAACTCAGCCTTTGTCTCCGAACTCACAAACTGACCGTCATAAAGTAAGTTTGTCCACACATTTCACAACGCACTAAGAACATTTAATTACTTTATAAAACACACTTCACGACAAGGAAAATTAAATATTTTATTGTTATTGTATATTTCTGACAAGAATATCTAAATGTTATTTCAACTGACGTTCTGCTTCTACTATTTCTTCAGAAAATAACCTATTTTATGTTTTATTTAAAATTGTTGTTAAATGTTTAGAATCTCACTCCCACAAAGATTTTTGAAAGCTAGTGTGAAATCGTTTTCTCACTAATGAAAACCTTGTATTCAAAAAGTTCACACCTCTATGTGAAATTCGATTCTAGGTCGCCGTTACGAATATAAAAAATAGAGACCTGCTACTTCTGAGGGCTCAAAACAATTTTGAAGGCCAGTTTGATATACACGTGCACACACACACACACACAAACACACACACACACACAATGAAGCAGTTGTTAAGGGTTTGTCTACACACTCATGAACGCATTAGGTGGACCATCATAAATCAAGTCTGTCAACACATTTCATATAACACTAAGAACATTTAATTACTTTATAAAACAAACTTCACTGCAAGAAAAATTGAACATTTTATTATTAGTGTATATTTCTTAAAAGAATATGTAAATGTTATTTCAACTGAACGTTCTGCTTCTACTTTTTCTCCAGAAAATAACATTCTATATATTTCATTTAAAAGATGTTGTTGTTGTTAAATGTTTGGAACCCTGACACTCAGATAGCAAGAAAAACATGGGTAGATGGATCCCAACACATCCATACGTAAGTATCGATTTGATGTGACTATTTAAGTGCATGAACTCTCTTCCAGCTTCTTGCTTCCTAGTCAACTTTGCTTTACAAACATTTAAATGCAATGTCAATCGTTATCTCCTGTCTTCTTAATTATTGTTCTTTTATTGTCTTCTCTCCTTAATAGTATGTTTTTGTCATATTCTCTAACACTTAGTAAACTCTTGCGTTTTAGTGGCTTTATTGCCTTTCATGGGGTGAAATTATTAAAACAAATTCTTATAAACCCACCGTTATTTCTACGATTTTTTCAGCGCCATATTACTTTTCTTGTTCTCACTTCGGCTTCTAATATCCAAACTAATTATCCTTATTTTAGCTGTATTTGTCAAAAACGAATCATACAAGTTGGCAAAGATTTTTTTTTTTCATTGGAATAAATTTTTGATTGGGAAGAGTGTGGGAAAGAGAGAATAATACCTCTTTTATCCGATTATTCATAAGGTGCAAAGAACAAACAAGATTCGAAACTCCTTAATGAAACTTGAACGAAATTTACATTTATTAACAAGACTTTAACAAAATGAATAGAAAATGTACAAATAAAATTTTCCTTTTATTGTTCTTTTTTTTATTGCCTTCCTAATAGTATGTTTTGTCATCAAACAAGATAAACCAGTTTTAAAAATCAAAATAAGGGATCATAAAAACTGAGATATATTTTTTTTCAACAAAACTTTCATTTATTTACAACAGTCAAAGAATCTCAGACGGTACAGCAATACAATTCCTTAAAAAGAAAGGTTCATAAAATACGTATTCTTTCAAAAAAGGCTCACTTACATTTTTAACGTTCGAAACTGGCAATGTTGTAGATTCACCAGAGGCACTGGGACTTTAACAAATTTGTTCACAAGAGGAACCACAATAATATCGATTTAAATCTCGTTATATTCTTTTTAAAACAGTTCAGTAATTAATTTCAGGGATTTTTAACTTTTCTTTTCTGGTTTCTTTTAACAGTAGCTTCTTTTTCTTTCTTATTTTGCTTTTTACTTCTTTCGTAAAAATCAACCGAGTTCATTCAGTGGTGACAGCCAAAATTACTTTTTATTTACAAACAGTCCTCGCACACTCACTTGTGACCGCTGAAATCTTTCTCAAATTCTGTTAATTTTTCCAACCAACCCCTTATATAGGCCACAAATAGACTCAAAACGTATCCCAAATTTTTATTTGCATATGAGGAAGTTACCTTTCTCATTGGCAAAAAAAAATCCTTTGAAATTTGAAAATCAACAAACCGCCTTATTTTGGCGGCTTTTGTTTGAGCCTTTCT